TTGTTTAGGGTACAAGAAAGGTTGCCTGGCCTCCATCCCCAGATGTCTCTGGTGTTTTTTCCCCTCTGATGTGTCCATCCCCAGCTCAAACGACTTCTATTTCAGTACGTTCAGATCCCCATTTTTTCGGAGCAAGCCGGTGTGTCAAATGATCATTTTTTTCCCTCCGAAGGTAATTTTACTCCAAGTGTACTTCTCTGCACTTGCTCCGTGACTGCACGGTGAGGCCTTAGGCCTCACCCACGGGCCACCCGAGAGACGGCAGCAAGCACAGACACGAGCATACGCTGCGTGCACACACACGAGACCATGGACAACCTTCCTACCCCTAACGTTGCAGGGTACGTGTCTGGTAACGACGAAGCGTGCTCCCAAGACTGAGGTCCTCAGACGGCCTGTATGACCCTTCATGCGCCTGCCGGCGTACCCCTACCGTGCGTGTGTGTGGATGTGCTGTGTGTCGCTCTGCCGCTCTGTGCCAACAGAGGTGCTATACAACTCCCTGCGTGGTGGTTCGAGGATTTTTCTTAACTGTCCCCGTATCGAGTAGACCGGATTACTGGCTGGACTACTGGGCCTCGGTGATCACTTTTTTGATAAAAAATAAGTGGGCGAAGCCTCAGAAGGGTTAAGAAAGGGTTCCGATCTCTCTCTACTCAGCACCTCCGATGTATGTCCGTACTGATCCAGCTTTATGTTTGCTGAAGACCTCTGGTTTGTTCGTTGCTTTCGAATTGCATTAGTTGGTCGTACCCCCTTACGTTTGAACAGGGGGGGGATAGAAGAGCGGAACTCGGGGATCTCAACCTATCCCCATCCACAACAACACCATCAGTATAACCCAGTCACCGCACCATCAGGCACACTCTCAAAGTCATGCCTGCCCCCTGCCGCCTGTCCTCCACATACTCCAATACATCCATCCATACAACATATACTCCGAAGCATACGTATGCATAGAGAATGCCGAGCTACTTTTGCACGGAAAGGAAATGCAAACAACGTATAGCGCGCAGAGGGAATGGAGGACTCCAGAATATCTGTCGTTGATTTCCATTGACTTGCGGACCCCTCGGGGCAATTTTATTTGAGTGTACCTTTTTAGGGTAAGTCAACCTGCGACCACGGGAATCCACCGCGTCGAGTGTTGGATCAGTACGGACATACGAAGGTACTGGATAGAGATCGGAACGGTTTTTAATGTGAAGACCACAACAACAACAACAACGTATGTCTACTTCAAGTATTGTAGGGGAGAGAGGAGTTCAGTTGAATTTGGTGTTTTCACATATGTATATAACAACATATTCGCCTGATTGAGAGCGTAGCATCTGATTGAGAGCGAGATTGCGCGATACGCTGTAGCCGGACTACTACTGAGAGGTGGAGCTTGCTGTGTAGCTTGAATTGAAGGGCTAGCCCGTAGCTTCAAGCCGCTACCCTGGTCATCCTGTGGGAGTCTCTCGTTGTGGAGCTACAGCGGGGAGCAGAAGCTACAGCAGAGCCCACCGCCCGACGCGATACCGCCCTGAAACAGTTTGAGCAGAAATAGCCAATCTGGGCAAATCTAGCAACTTGTCTAGCTCCTCGCTGCAGCATCCGATGACGATGACACGCATATGCTCGCGAAGCTGCTGATGAGACCTTCAATTTGCACCGCTTCTTGGAATAGCCCGTCCCCTACTTGCCAAGAAATGGCAAGAGGCGTCTGGACCCGAAATTTCAATTTTTTTGGCTCTCGCTCTCAATCAGATACTTCGCTCTCAATCAGGCGAATATGTTGTTATATGCGACAAGACACATGGGTGACAAGATTGTATTGGAGCATCAGAGAGATCGAATACTGGTTGATATTGGAACATATTTATCTTCGGAAATTAGTTGATATTATACTAAACTAGTTGAGTGAGAGTTTCGTTTCATAGTCTACACCTATACTACTTACTTGTCGGATGGCAAATAATATAATAACATACAAATGATGTAGATGCATGAAATGATACACTCTGTCTTTCTTATGGTCCGCGCTGCCTACAAATAAACGGGAAAGGTAGCTATACCTTCTGCAGACACACGGGCAAGAGAGGCGACCATACCCACTGCATTTAACACACACCCACATGTCAGTGATGAAACCCCAACCACACGCACGCCTCTATCGGCGGCCACGTCAGGAGGCAATGATGAAATAATGTTCGCCCGTGCCCTTCTCACATTGAACGTCATGACATTACACAACAAGGTAAATATGTTCTCCCGCGCCGCACATGCCCCCATACATCACACACAAAAAATAAGTTGATAACGAAACTATACACACCCCGAGACGCGCTTGCTCCGCAACCACATAAGGGTGCTATATATAGAACACCCGACAAACCGAGTTCCCCTAAATCTTCCGTCTACAACTTCCCAACAGAACATACAGATAGATACACAAGATGGCTACCAAACTGCCTTGTTGAGCCTGTTACCCACAGGGGAGTTATCGTTGTGTGCTGTCTGGTAAACCGTAGACATACAGGTAGCCTTTCGCTCACGCTATGGATTCATTGGTAATCTATCTTAGACTTTTTTGTATAGATAGAGATGGATTTGTTGTGTGACATCAAGAAAAAAAAAAAACAGAAACAAAAATTGCCCGGCACCTCAAAGCCCCGCACATGTTGTACATGAACATGGACTGGAAACACTCCTAGTACTGCACTCATCCCCCTCTCACGCAGCGCCAGCTGTTAACAAAAACTTTCAACTGCGCGCCCACTCCCCCTGGGATGTCGGGTGCTCCCCACACTCCCTTCTCTCCAAATTGCACGCATGTTCCGATACACCGACCTCAATATGCCGCACATATACCACATTGATTGTGATGCACCTTGAAGTACACCACCACTGCATGCCCATGTCTAGTCGCGCTACCTCGTCAAGCTCATCAATGGTCGCACACACGCGGTACCCCACGAACCCCCACGTTGGGTTCGCACCCGCCCCCCGACCGCCGGCCCACGGCTACAGCCGACCCTGTCGACCATAACCAATCATGCAGTCATTGTGCACTCGCCGCTCGTGGCACAGCAACTTAGGCGCTCTCACTCGCACTGAGAGTACCGCCAGCATCTCTAACGCGACAGACACACCCAGGCAAGGACCATCTATCGAAGAGACCCTCGCCCCATCAGCAGTATCGGCAAACGACCACACCTTCCTCAGTCACTACTGCTGGCGATCCGTCCTCGCCCTACCACTGACACCCCCAAAAGCAAAAGGGTGGGTGGGTGGGTGGGAAAGAAATAGATCTCCTCCGAAATATCTCTTGGCTGCAGCAGCCTCCCTCGTGCTTCCTTGGGGCAGACCAACAAGTGCTCTCAAGTCTACTCTTCTGGTCAGGCTTCAGACACTTCATGCTGACTCCATGCTGCTGCTCTCTGATTGGCCAACAGATATTTCATCTTACGCTCCTCACAAAACTCAGATTTCAACGCCTCTCTCTGTCTCTGCAATATTCTGCTTTGTTCGTTGCTTTCGAAATTGCATTAATTGGTCGTACCCCCCCACGCTTGAACAGGGGGGGGAGAGAAGAGCGGATCTCGGGAATCTCAACCTATCCCCGTCCACAACACCATCAGCACTAACCAGTCACCGCACCATCAGGCATACTCTCAAAGTCATGCCTGCCCCCAACCTAACCGCGGACTGGTTTACCATACTGATCTGTACTCTCTCTCCCCCCCTACCGTGGTTCCCACTCTTGTACCGACCAATCAACCCTGATCACATACACTCCACCCCCTCCTTTTACGGCTCGCCCTCACCAGCCTCAGGGACTACCTCACCCCACTCTGTACCCTGTCCCGGTTGTCTCTCTGTATCACCCTCCGCCGCCAAGGTACTAGAAACCCACTCTGCATCTTTTCCATGGTTCCTTACGTACGGCCGATACGCCGATTCCCCAGTCCATCTTCCCTCTCGTCTCAGAACTTCTGGCGACGCTCCCCCCGCTGCCAAGTACGTGGCGCCCCCAATCCGAAGGGAATGCAACGCGTACTCTGACGACGGCAGACCCGCTAGCGACACGACTTGCCGCAGCGCTTCCGTCGCGTAACGACGAGTCCACACGGACCATCGCCCCTCCCCGGTTCGGAACGCGACTAACGGAGCAGACGAAGGGAGAACAGGGTAACATGACAGGAGTTCAATCATCACATCGACTGCATCCCCACCAACCTCCACAGACTGGGGAGGCCCCGGCCTCGCCCGCGTACACACGGCACCCTTGCGAAACTGGTCGCCTTTCGACGACCGAAACCGCACCTCGACTGTGTCGGTCTCCCCTCCGTTCAGGAGGCAACTGGCGAGAACCCAAAAAAAACGCCACGTCCCCCCGACGCAACCCATGACAAGAATCCATGGCCAACGAGGACACAGCGAACATTTCGCATGCCCGCATCAAGAAAAAAAATGACGCACTCAACGCCAGAAACAACACGCGCCCACCCGTGCCCCACTGTGGCACCAGACGCCCCCCTTCCTTCAGCATCGACCACGACACCGGACGTCGCACCCGTTGCTGCGCACCAACACCCGCATGCCCTCGCGCCACCCCTTTGAGCGCTTGCTTGATCAAAGAATGACATGTATCAACTTCCATCGCATACGACAAGCGGGGAAAACATTTAACAGCAGACAAATGACCAGTTATCGTCGTCTGCCTCAAGCCCAACACTGTGAACGCGTATGCCACGTACTCCAACAATTGCGAAACAATGTCCGGCGATGGCGACGACGGCACCATAAACGCCGGTTTCCCCACAAAGTCCTCTCGAAACTTCACCCACGCTCCAAAAAACCCCAGGTAAGTTCGTTCAGACGACGGCGCAAGTGCGTGCCGGACGAGCTCGAAGCCAGCACGGTGGAGCACAACTCGCGCTCCGTCGGGCCTAACTCCACGATCTGATTCCAAGTCGGAAGCCACTCCGGGCAGGCCCTCACAGCGCTCGCCTCGGATCCCCACGCCAGCCAAGGCCCGGGACGCCATCTCCCTATGACCTGGCTGCTGTTGCGGCCTCTCAGCTGGAACCGACACAGGAGTTGGCCCCGCCACCCGGCGGAGCCCGCACCCTATTTGCTGCCACCCCGCACCACCAAGGCCGACGACGAGCCGCCACCGTGCCACGGTCAGCCTGCCCTCCTCCCCGGGCGACGCCACCCCCCTGACCACCAGCCGACGAGCGCCCCCCGCCACCGCGATTCCCGCCCCCACCACCGCCACTTCCTGTACTTAACGAATCTCGGTGCTTGACGTGCTCAAACCTGCATTTGTCGCCGAAAGAGCACGTGCCAGAGTCGCGGAACTGGAAGCACTCCCTTGTGACACGCCTCCGTGACGATGAATCACCCCGATCCAGTTGGCCCGCCTTACGCTTGCCGCTCCCGCCCCGCGACTCTCCTGTTCCGGGGAGGGATCCTCCGTCACTCAGGACCAGCGGGAATAGGTTCACCCCCCGTTCACAGAAGTTGTTGATGTTGGGAAACTTGGGCACCGGCGGCACGGTGTGGCCGTCGAACGCATCCGGCGGATAATGCATCTTCGTGAAGGGGTACATCCAGGTGATGATCGCCGTTGTCCACAATTTGAAGTCCTCGTTCGGCAACCTTGGCAGTGCCGCCCGCTGGTACTCGTCCGGAAACACGTCACTATTCCGCACGAGAGTAGTCCGAAACCTGGAGCGCGCGTCCGCCATGGCTGTGGCTATGGGTTCCAACCGCCGCAACGCGGTTGTGGACGAATTTAGACCAAACTTCAACAGCCGCATCACCGCCTCACACATCAGGTCAAAGTTGTCTGCAATAGACGACGTGCGCGCAACCCCCCACGGGCCGGAAGCTCTTGACGTTGAAAGACGAAAACGCACGCATCTGAGCGAGGACGTCGCCCGTGACGTGAACGATATCGCCCATCAAACCCTGTAGGTCATCCTTCTGTGGCCCGGGCTCCGGCCCCCGCTGCCCCCGGAGTACCCAGAGTGTTTGATCATTTTTGGCCTGCCGAATGGTGGCCTCCCTCCTCGCCTCCTCTTTGGCGTTGGACCTCGCGGGCGCACTCGCCCCCCCGCCCGCGCCCCCGCCCCACGGCGAAAACACCGGCACCAGACCGAGGCCTCTCGACCCCCCGGGCCCACGACCCCCATCCTGCCCCGACTCCGACCGGACGTTCTTCAGCAACCCAGCGATCTCAGTAAGCTGCGCCACAATGTTCGTCTGGCCTTGTTCGAGACGAGCGTTTTTTTTCCGCATTCTCAGACGCGAGCGGGGTGCCCTCGCTGGGCTCCCCCCCCCCGGCAGCACCCACCGACATATGGGCCAAACGCGACATGACGTGGGCCTGGACTTGGTCATCCGCACGCCGGAGCTCCGGCTGGCGGTCACCGCCGGAAGCCAAGGCCCGAGCGTGACCCTGAGTCGGAAACCCACCGCTCTCAGCAGCACCAACATCTGCGGATGATTGCGTTGTTGAAGCCACGTCACCTGCTGGTGAATCCACGCCACTGGCAGCAGCCCTCGCGGCCGCCGCAATAGCACCCGCCACAACCTGAGACGGGGGAAACGAACCCCCTCCCGTCCCCACCGCCGACTCGACCTGACCGCCAGTAGGTCCTTCACTGCGGACGACACCAAGGCGTTCTTCCGTCTCCGGCAACTTATGCTCGGATGATATGGCCCAAATTTGATGCAACCGAGAGCCACCAAGATTCAAACCTCCAATTCCAACCGATAGGTGAATGCCCCCAGACGCCCGCGCCACACGACCCGCACGATCTCCTGCCCGCGGGAAGAGAGCAGCACAAAGAAATAGATCTCCTCCGAAATATCTCTTGGCTGCAGCAGCCTCCCTCGTGCTTCCTTGGGGCAGACCAACAAGTGCTCCCAAGTCTACTCTTCTGCTCAGGTTTCAGGCACTTCATGCTGACTCCATGCTGCTGCTCTCTGATTGGCCAACAGAAGTATTTCATCTTCCGGTCCTCACAAAACTCAGACTTCAACGCCTCTGTCTCTGCAATCTTCTGCATTATTTTTCTGTGGGTAACCAAAAAAAACCAAGACACCTGAAACACATTGAGAGCGCAGGGAAAGCGCCGTCTTGCTCCCAACGTTTTCTTATCGGACTAACCCGCTACAAGCTTCACAAGATTGCCCTACTATTATTACTTTTGATTCGGCCTCTGGCCTAAACGTATCCTACTCGAAACTACTTCACACATGGTACCCATAGTCATCGACCAACATGCTCCCCCCTCTCTTGAGCGCTAGGTGTGGGTGGGCGGGAAAATCCATCATCTCCTAGACGGCATTTCATGTTATGCTGCTCCTCAGAGTTGCTTTCTCTGCCAGTCCTCCTCTCTCAAGTTCGCGCTAGCTTGTCTCTCGCCCAGCGAGAGGACGAACTTTCTGACACCCGTGCAGCGTCTTTCTATTTTCTTCGAGCCCCGTTTTTCCTAATTCCAACACGCCTCCACAAGCTACAGATTCAAATACGTACAGAATCTTCACGATTCGACGCGGTCGATTCCCGTGGTCGCAGGCTAACTTACCCTAAAAAGGTACACTCAAATAAAATGGCCCCGAGGGGTCCGCAAGTCAATAGAAGTCAACGACAGATATTCTGGAGTCCTCCACTCCCGCTGCGCGCTGTGCGAGGTAACAACTGAGACTAGGAGTCACCATCACGGGCCGGAGAGAATGAGGTACACTCCCTTGGTTCAATCTTGGGACTTCACAACGCAAGCAGAGAAACGGCCATCTGGCACAGAAAAAGAGAGAAAAAGAGAAGAAAATGAAAGGAAACAGCAAGGAAAGAGATAGAAAAAGGCACACGGTGGAGAGGCCACTAACGAACAAGCAAACACATAAACATGGCCACCAACCAGCGATACATAGTAATGGTACGTCATCACTAGTGGAGGGTTGGTGCAATGGTGCAGCGTTGGGGGGGGGGGAATTGGCTGAAATAAATTCAATCCGGCACGTATCGCGCCACTCGGACCGTCTCTTCTTCTCGTTTGCGTTCTTCCCTTGCCGTCTCGTCCGCCTCCTGCCCCCCTCCCGCCCCATTGGTCGGTGGCTTGTGGTTTCGTTTGAGCTCCCGTTGTCGGCTGACCTCGTCTTCCTTCTCGTTCGTGCCAGGAGGATATGACACAACGTATCCATCTCAACGAAAAGAGTCCGCGACAGATTAGCAATGAATCCATAGCGTCAGTGAAGGCTACCTGTGTTTCCATGACCATGATTTCCAGAGCAGCATTCAGCGACATCTCCCCCGTGGGTAACAGGGTCAACAAGAAGACAGTGTGGTAGCCGTTTTGTGCATCTATCTGCATGTTATGCTGGGAATGTACGGAAGGAAAGTGTTGGGTAGTTGGTTTGTCGGGTGTGATGTTGGTGGCACCCTTATGGAACTGTTCCAAGTTTGAGGTGTTTGCTGTTGTTGTTGTTCTCACATTAGCTCGATAGTCCACAAAAAATGGGGAGCCCGTGGTCTCAAAACCCGGCACGTACGACGCCGCGGGGAAACAAAACAAATATAGGGTTGTTTTTCTTCACATTCAACTCGTGTCAGTTACTAATCCCAAATCTAGCAAAGACTCGGTCCGTGGTCACAAAAGTGCTAGAGCCACCAGAAGATCTAGAGCACACACACACTGTTAGCAAGAATAGGGTACACAAGCCGGAGGAGGTACACCGACAATCCCTGCAGCACGTTTGCTTGTTCACAACTGAACTGCACGCCCACACACTACAATTCGACTACAGCAGCAGCATCACCCCCCTTGTCTCGCATTGAACCAAAATGAATGTTTGTCGACTACAACGTACTGCTGTCTGAAGTGCTGAATGAACAATAATAACACCATGGTGCATTGTACACAAGCTCGGGGCATGCATGTGCTGTCTGAAGTGCTGTCAGAATGAGTCCGTGGACATACAATGAAGAACACCCAACCAAAGCCATCATTTCAATTGACACTCACCCGAATCTATCCAAATAATCTGTGTTGGGCACAGCAGTGTAAACATCGACACTGACTAGGAATCGTTCCACATTGAAAGGGTCTTCCACGATGCAGGTACACAATTAAGGCACCCGGGTTATCCGCGCCATCAATGCCGCGTCTCCCTACAAAACCAGTGACGGCATCACACACACACCCAACACCTATATTCAGGAAAAAAACGGAAAATAATTGACAACACAAGAGATGTTTGTCCGTGCGCCACGGTTCACGACCAAACTCCACCCGCTCCGCTTTGTACACGCTCTCGTTGCTGTCCTTCCCAGTCGGTTCCTCGCTTACTCCCTCGTTGCACTTAGGGTTCTTGGTCTGATAGTTCTCGCGCCGAAGGGTCAACCAGCCCAATCAGCTCGTCACCACCTGTCCCCTCCTCTTTTGATGGCAAAACCAGATTACTGAGACAGTACAGCTCCCTCTAGCAAACCTAGGGCCGTGTACGCAGTGCCCGTCCACCTTTCTGATGACGTCTGCCTCCGCGCACAAAGATGATATGGGCATTGCTTCCTACACCGACGGCCTAGAGGCCGGCGCATCTGCACCTTTATACCTGACGCACCAGTGCCGACCCAACTCCACCACTACGCACGCCTCGCGGCG